ATACCGTGGAGCCCATGCGGGTCTTCTGCCTGGCCTGCAGCAGAGAGTAGAGCACCCGGTCATCCGGTCTCTCCGAATGGCTGGGGTCTCCCGGCTCACTCCACAGGTTTGTTTCCTCATCTCGACGCTTCTGGACTTCACGGGTAAAATAGTCCAACGGATCCGCACTGTGCGGTCAGCCAACGCAGACAAGAAGAGACACAAGCTGTTAACACAAATTCAAACATTGGCTGTACGTGATATACATGATATGCTTGTCTGTGTCATCTTACGGTACTAAAGGCTGCTTTTCATCTTCTTCTTCATCATCATCAGCAACACAGCAGCAGCAGCAGAACTGCATGCAGAACCTGTTAAAGGCTGAACCCATCTATTAAGAACAGAGTCAGCTGGTAGTGGATGTTCACAGTGTCAGATAATCCAGAGAGAAGTTGTGTTTCAGTTCTTTCACAAGTGGAACGCCCTCTTGGATGCCAGAGGAGAATCTGCCACCGTCCCTGTGGGATGCTCTGTAGAGATTCTTTACAAAGCGGACCTTAGCCAAAACCTATATTTTGGCAAAGGAAAAAGCAGCTGTGACAACATTCAAGCCCTCCACTTATAAAAAGAACGAATAAAAATCATCATAAATAAGAACAAGTAGGAAAAAAAGCTACAAAATAAAGGTCACAGATCTAAAACTCTACCAAGTTTTTAGCTTCCCATTTTCCAGGATCTCACTGAAGCACCAGATTGATGAGAGGTTTTCCCTCCAGATTATTGGCCTGATGGAAAAGTGCTCAGGCAGATGACGGCAGCCCAAGGACCGATGCTTCTCATCAGCTTTACATGGAGGACAACAAGAGCAGTGGGACGCTTGTGCTCTCATCGAATCAAAAAGAAACACAAATTCCCACACCCACATCCTCAGAAGACAGTCACAGCAAAATCATGTGAGCTGCTTCATCTCTCAAGCAATGTGTTTTGCCCCAAGGACAGCAGATCTCTTCTGCAGCAGTAAGATTAATTACACTTCGTATCAAGTCTGCAGCTGCAGTGTCGATTCAGGGATTATGCAACTGGATTATTTAGCCTTACTTAACTGTGTTCTGTGTTTAAATAACATTTTTCTTTGGGGAGTATCAGTTTATTTTTGAAAACTTGAACTTGAAAACTTTTGAAAACGCTTGCTTATTTTTGATTAAGTCACACAGAGAACAGTGACCTCTGGCAAAGTTCTGTGAGTGCTGCAATGAATATCATGCAAGGCTGCAGACACAGGGCATATTGTTCATAACATAAGCACCCACAGAGAAACATATGGGTAGAGGCTACTCTTGTATGTATGTATGGATGGATGCAGGGATGGATGGGTAGATAGATAACTACAAGGGTATCTATGTACCCATGTTAAAAAATATATTCAAAAATAAGAGCACAAGATTTATACAAGTTAATACAGATACTGGTTAAATATGTGAGTTGAAGGAAGTCAGAGCAAGATCATCTTTTCATATATTTTATTAGATGTAAGACACTGTTTAAGACTCAGTAAAAAATCTTGTTCAGTAGTGATGAGCATAAATTAAAATGTTTGTATAAACAAATCAATTTAAAATTATAAAAAAAACACAGTTAAGCAGGGTTTGTGTAAATAATCTTTGTGGAGGATACGAAAGCACAGACATAACAGCAGGAAATAAATGGAAAAGTAAAACAAACGACTGGCATGTAAAACTACTCTGATAAAAGGCACCAAATTATTGATATCATTATTTATTTTCACTTCCAACATTCCTTCAGTACAGTAAGTAGCGTAAATGATTTATTATCCAGATAATCCTAATAAACTTGTTTTTTTAAGGGCTTAATGATTTCTGAGCGTGACTACATACACAAGTTTATGAAGTGTAATGCCTCACAGTCGTGTGGGTGTCACAGTTACACCACCAAGTGTTATTAGATTTTGCGTTACACCAATATAAAAAAGTTCAGGGAAGACCAGCGCCCTCTTCAGGTCAACTTCACAATAACTTCAACCAACTTCATCTTTTAAATTCTTTTGATTCCAGATGTAATCCTAAAAATAGATCTTCTGAGGTACATCATAACACTGATACACAACTTAAGCTGCAGGGGATGTCTTCTTTTTTCCCCC